AATAGTAGTAAAACTAATTTCCGGGGGGCCGTAGGCCCCCCGGAAATTTAACCTTAACCTTAACCTTAACCTTAACCCGGAGGGGGCCGTAGGCCCCCCTCCGGGTCTAATTTCCGGGGCCTCCAAAGGAGGCCCCGGGAATTTAACCTTTATCCCTCCAAAGGAGGGATAAAGGTCTAATGAAGAATTTTTATTTAAATTAGTTTTAGTCAATACTGGACTATGTCTTAATTAGTTAATAACTAATTTCTTGCATATAGTCTCTGAGGACCCAAAATTGGTTACCTGCGAGTTGTCTCATCATAATAATTGTAACCATGAAGGTATATTATGATCTATGAGATATTCTCGCATATAGCAAGATAGTTAGGGCACTCTAAGAAAGAATTGCACCCCAAATACCAATGATTAAGAACATTGGAATTAAAACACTCTCGAAACAAATATAGAATAATAATAAATCTAGAACTACAAATACTGCAATTAATAAAGTTTCTAGAACTAGGAAAGCAATTAAGAAATATTTAATTCCTGTCTTAATACTATCCCAACTAGATAAAATACAAATTGGAATAATAAAAGTCGTTAATAAAACAAAAAATAGAGAAATACCATCTACTCCAACTACTTCTTTAGTAGTAATAGTAGGGAAAGAACTAACAAATTGGAATCCGTTATAATTAGAATCAAATCCAGCCCAAAGAACTAAAGATAGAACAAATGTTAATAATGAACTAGCAAGAGCTACCTTTTTTTGTAGAGATGAATTTTCTCCTGATAAGATAACACCAATAACACCTAAAAGAGGTGTAATCAATAGTGATAAAATCATAATTGTAATTTTATATAATAACTTTTAAATAGGGGAACAATATAATTTATAATTAATAATAGTTATTATAAATTATAAAATTATAGCCCCCCTTTAAATTAAAGGGGGGACTTGCATTGCACCCGAAGGGGGATGAACCCCCCTCCAGGGCTAATTTTAAACTAAGAACTTATGTCCTATAGGTTAGTCATTAATGACTTTTAAAGAAAATAGAAAATATTCTTAATTCTATTTCCCCAATTTAAAGAGGGGCCGTAGGCCCCCCCAATTCCTATTCCTATTTTTTAGGGAAAATTACCCCAATTGGGCCCTCTTAATCTTAAAGAGGGCCCAATTGGGGCTATTTTAGAATATTAATTATTTTAATTCTCTTTTAATTAATTTTATTTCCTAGCCCCTTTTAAGGGGTACTTGTTCCACCCGTTTTGTTAAAAACATGTTTTTAACAAAACATGTCTCGTGACAAGTTTTTAGGGTCCTCGGGCGGAACTACCCCTGATCTTGATCTTGATCTTTTAAGGCGGGAGACATGTTCCGGCGGGCCCCTTTTATCTTAAGATAAAAGAAGGAACTTATTGATTTATTATAGCTATCAAAGACCTTTAGACTTTTAGTCTTAGTACCCAGGGCTTCGGGCGGGCATAGCCCGCCGATGACCATCCCCCGGCCCCTCTTCAACCAAAGAGGGGCCGGGGGAAGGGCTAGAAATATGTTTAACATCTAATCCCCCTTTAAAGGTAAATCGAAAGGGGGGGATTCACCCCGGCCCCTAGTTTTTGTTTAAAACTCCGGGCCGGGGCTAATTGATAAATCTCCTTTTCTTTAACCGGGAAAAGGCCGAGAGAGAAAAACTTGTTTTAACCCTCGACTTTAGTTGAAATTTTACTAATCTTATACTTAAAGTAGGTTAATTTTATAATAAATTTGAGGCCGTAGGGACTTGAACCCTAATAATACCGATTAAAAGTCGGGAACTTTACCGATTAAGTTACAACCCCTTAGTCTATTACTTATACTAAAATAATAAATTAATCAAGACCGGCCGCGCCTTAAGGCGCGACTGAACCTTGTATAAGTAAATCCTAAAACCCGAGAACTTATACTATATTAAAGGCCCCGGCCCCGGCCCCCCAATTGTAATAAAATAAAATTGGGGCGGATTTATACATAACTTTAATAACTTTAGGGCCAAGGTCCGCCGGGGGAGGCCCACCTCTCCTTCTTTATATTAATTCCTTTAAAGTGGTGAATAGTGTATAGTTATTGTTAAAATAGAGTTTGTAAAATTAACTAGTCCCGCCCTTTTTAAGGTTAAGGGGGCAGAACTTGCCCCGGGTGGGATAAGTCCCCCCCGTTTCGTTTAGAAGGGGGCTAGTTGGTTTAAATAAGTTAATATAAGATAAATTACCGCTCCTTGTTATAAAATACTCTGTCAAGAGTTTTTATAACACTGGTTGTTTATCGTTAGCTTGTTAAATATTTTTTGTAACTACTTAAGGGGGTTTAACTATACTAGGAAAGGAGGGGAGGCGGGCCTGGGTTATTAAATTACTTTATCTTTATAAAATATTCATATCTTGTCTCCCGAGGGGGTACAAGTACCCCCTCCGAAGACATGTACATCCCGTCCCCTTCGGGATGTACTTGTTTTTAATATTATATAGGTATTTAGATATAAGCCAATTGGGAGCTAGATTAATCAAGGTCCCAAAAATATGGCTAAATAAATTTATAAAAATTACTTACTGTGGGACTCGAACCCACAAGCCTCGCGGCACCGAATTTTAAGTTCGGAGAGTTTACCAATTTCTCCAAGTAAGCTAAGGTAATAATAAATACCGGGAGGAAGATTTGAACTTCCAAGTTTTATGTATGAGATAAACATTTTACCATTAAATTATCCCGGCGATACTAATTTAATTGTTTCTTTTAATATTTATTAAAAGTTCAAATGATTAAATTTTAATTAATTTTTTATAATTATTTTACATCCATTCTCTCCTCCTTCGGGGGTGAACCCGGGTAAGTCCCCGAAGGGAGTTATACATATCACTTAAATACCTTAATCTTTCAATAAGAGACTCTTCACCTCCGGTCATTTGAAATAATATTTGAAAAATCTTTAGAATTCCCCTTTAAGATTAAGATTAAGATTAAGAGGGGCCGTAGGCCCCCAGGGAATTTACCCCGGGCCCGGAGGGCCCGGGGCTAATGAAAATAATTATTTTAACTTCCCCGGGTGCCCCGGGGCGGGCGCGTCTTAATAGGGCCCCCGCCCCGGGTTTAATGAATTTAATATTCAATACAAATTTTTAGTTAAAAATTCAAAAGGGGTCGGGGGGAAGGGCTAATATGATAAGATAATTATATTATTTCTTAGAACTTGATAAGCCGGATTCAGTTATATAGTTATAATTCTATATTTACTCAATGTTGATAATCATAAATTGAGTAAATAAATAGCTTCCCATAGGTTAAATTTTTCAGCCACTAATTAGGAGGGACCTCCGTACCCCTTGCATCGGCCCTTCGGCCTGACGCTTATTTTCTAACTATTACCCTGGTTCACACCAGATGTTATTATTCCATTATGGTATATTCATTCAAACCTTAGTTTATACAAACTAATAATTTGAAATTTAAGGCTCTCGGACTTTCCCTTCCCCACTAATCCATCCCCTTCGGGGCTAATCCCCCCTTTAAGATTTAAGAGGGGGCCCCTCTTAAAGGGGTATTTCCCCCCACCCTACCCCGTTTAAATTTTATTTAAAAAGGGGTAGGGAGAGGGGGCTAATTTGAAATGAATTAAGGGTAAACTATTTAAGTTCCTAAGATTAATATATATTCTTTTATATTAGATTCTAAGATTAAAGGCGATAATAGAAAATATCTAAATAAAGAAATTAGACCTTTATCCCTCCTTTGGAGGGATAAAGGTTAAATTCCCGGGGCCTCCTTTGGAGGCCCCGGAAATTAGACCCGGAGGGGGGCCGTAGGCCCCCTCCGGGTTAAGGTTAAGGTTAAATTTCCGGGGGGCCGTAGGCCCCCCGGAAATTATACCTTTCTCCCTCCTTTGGAGGGATAAAGGTTAAATTCCCTCTGAAAGAGGGAATTAGAATAGTAAATTGTGCGGATGATAGATTTGAACTACCACTTCTAGATCATGAGTCTAACATGCTTCCATTACATCAACCCGCATTAAATATATTTAATAAAGAATAACTTATCATTTTACTTTACTTTTATAAAATTTTAATAAATTGGTAATTAAAATCAATATTTGAATCAATACATTATATAACTTGTATTTAGTTTTAAATATCTGTATGCTGGTAAAATTCGTGTTAAAAAGACTGAGATTAGGGTTTCATCTAATTTGAGTAAACGAGATAAAGTGATTGTTAATGATGAATGGGTTTTAACTAAACCTTTAAGCATTAATGGTTAATTATCTATTTCTAATTCCCGGGGCCTCCAAAGGAGGCCCCGGGAATTTAACCTTTATCCCTCCAAAGGAGGGATAAAGGTATAATTTTGTTTTTATGGGAGCTTTAATCTCCCTTTTATATATTTTATTCTTCTCTATCTACATCTTAAAGGAATAAAAATAAGGAGGGTTGAGAATTAAATAATAGTCCCCTTTATTTATAAATAAAGGGGACATGTTGTCCGTCCCCTTCCCCGAAGGGGACGGCGGCGAGGGGTTTAAATGAGAAGGGAAGTCAATATTAAATAATTTATTATTTTGAGGAAAGTAGGACTCGAACCTACAAGGAGCACTTGGCTCACGAGTTTACAGCTCGCTCACTGACCAATCAGTAGTTTCCTCGTAATTTATATTGTTTACTTATATAATAGTCCCGGGGGGGCCCCGGCCCCCCGGGACATGCTGTCCGGCCCCTTCCCCTGAAGGGGAAGGGGCCGGCGGCAAGTCAAATTTTAAATTTTAATCATAACCCGGGGCGGGGGCCCTGACGCGCCCGCCCCGGGGCCCCCGGGGCGGGGGCCCTATTAAGACGCGCCCGCCCCGGGGCCATGTAATTTAAAAGATATACTCAAACCCCGGGTAAAATGTATTATCCAAATTTTTATTAAGTCCCATTTTAATAAAGATACAAAATAATATTTATCTCCATTATTTATACGAAATAGGCCAACAAGTTACTTGAGACTAATAAGTGAATCGAACACTTTTAAACGGATTTGCAATCCGGTACATTACCAAATATGTTAATTAGTCTCTTTTAATAAATATTAACTTCTAATTAATCTAGTATAAAGGTTTAAGTATAATAATATAGGGGTTTAGGGAGGACCTGAGTATTTTACGAGTAATAAAACATCGAAGACATGGGTTATAGAATAACCCATACCTTGTAATTTGAAATAAACCTGAAGAGTGATTAATCCCTCTAAGGTTTGGTTTAAATCGCGGAGATTATATGGAAATAAGTGCAATCGATAAGGAATCATAAAAAATAGTTTTCATCCTATAGATGGAATGAAATTATTCTTTATAGCGGATATCGTGGTAGTGACTTATCTATAAGAAAGGTCTTTAGATAGGAAGGGTACCTAGGGACAATAAATATTCACAAGATAATGAATATAAAGATAAATAATATTATTAACGTATAAGTAAAGATTAATTAGTTAAATAATCATTATTTCTTAATTTCATTAACCCCGGGGCGGGGCCCTATTAAGACGCGCCCGCCCCGGGGCCCCCGGGGCGGGGGCCCTATTTAGACGCGCCCGCCCCGGGGCGATTTTATATTTGATATAAAATTACAATTAATAAAGGAGTGTAGTTAAGTTGGTTATAATAGGGATCTCCAAAATCCTGGTCGTGGGTTCGAATCCTACCTCTCCTGTTATTTAATTAGTAGCTCTTTAAAGGAGGTTATTAATATTCTTCCCTTCTCGGGGATGTTTCTTTTTAACGCTAACGCCAGGGAGGGCCCAAAAGCGAAGTCCCCGATACATCTGAGGGCCGACGCTCTTCAGCCCTGGGCTTCAGATCTAAGTCTAATATTCGGAAGGACAAAATCCTCCGAGTTTCGAAGAGGAAATACTATTTAATTAGATATAAGTAATATAACAATTATTTTTTATAAATAAGTATCGGTAGTCTATTATTACTTTAAATTAATTGATTAAATAAGTCTGGTAACTCAATAGGTAGAGTGATATGTTGATAACGTATAAGTTAGAGGTTCGAGCCCTCTTCAGACATAAATTCTAATATTATTAGTTAAATTAAATTCATTTCAAATATCAATTTAATAGTCTGAAGAGGGCTCGAACCTCTAACTTATACGTTATCAACATATCACTCTACCTATTGAGTTACCAGACTTATTTAATCAATTAATTTAAAGTAATAATAGACTACCGATACTTATTTATAAAAAATAATTGTTATATTACTT